GGTTCTCTGGTGTTTTAATAAAGGTCAGTATTTGATTCACTGAGACATATTTTCTTTTGCTTTTGTACAATGGCAAAGTAGTATTGGTAGACTGCTGAAATGGCAGAAGATGAATGATAAGCCTGAAAATTCCCAACCCTCAAGAAAAACTGTTCTAGAGCATAAGGAAAACACTTTATGCCATATTAAGACACTTTTTACAGTTTAACTTAAATTATAAATAGCTATGTCAAAGTTATCTTACTGAATAAACCTTAAGCAACTTAAATGAACATATCATATGGTCTTGTATGTAGATAAACACATGGTATAATATTTTACATATGCCAGGTGCTTAACTGTTTGAGTTGCATGTCTTCCTAGGATTATTGTATAGCCATGAATTAACTGATTAATTAGCTCATCAGATCAAATATTCATATACTTATGGAATTTATTGTGCCTGTGGGTTTGTAGGCCACGTATTTTGTTTTTTCAATGGTTGTTATCAAATAGGCCAAGTATTGGCATAGTATTGTACAAATGTGGCCAAAGGACAAAGAAAGTTGAATTAAGTACCGTGAGTTTGTGAAGGTTAGGAATACAACTCAAGGGAGATGAACTAGTTCTTCTCTCTCAAAACACAATTTTCCTTAACCTTAGCACATGTGACTGAATCCTTTACCTAAACATGATGTTACCATGATTATGTTGACTTTTTCAAACCCAAGTGGATACCGTAACTCATTTTTTTTTTTTGTATATGTCACACCAGCAGTTAGGGACTTCTCTTCAGTAAGTATTTAAAAGTACATGATATTCAGCTTTATCATGATGAACAAAAGCAAAACAAATAAGCAAAAACCTTACAATATTCCTACCTCCATATTCTTGGTTTTTGGTTAAATGGGAGATCACAAAGACAAAGATGCATAAAATGTGGTAAACACTAATGTAGCTAAACGGATAGGATATACAAAGGGGAAGCCCGCCCAAAAGTAAAATTATAACCCTGTAAGAAATAAGAGTGCAAGAATCTTGCATTGGTAACATATTATACAAAATTTATCCTAGTGAGAGGAAATGTGAATTTTTCTTGAGGAAGTAAGATATAAAAAATGGTATGATGTTAATTAACTGAGAAAACACGAAATAAATGAGTAACACGGTTAGAAGGAGCTAAATCTCCATGTGCACAGGAAGATGGCAAACCAAAAAGCCTAAATGGTTCTGTGTATGTCTGAAAACATAGAGACAGGGGAATATCACATGAGTTGTAGCTGGTGAAGCAGGAAAATACCAAGCCTATAATTAAGCAAACATTGCAGTAAAGTGAGTAAAAAAAAATTTTGGGTTCCCCAGCACAGTAAGTAACATAAATCTGTGGGTTCCCCAGTGTATATAAATGCTATGTTCACACTATACTATAGTTTATTGTGTGTAATATCATTATATCTAAAAGAAAAATGTATATACTTGTATTAAAAATACTTTGTTACTGAAAGTTGTAAATGATCATCTCAGTCTTCAGCAAGTCACAATCTTTTGGCTGGTGAAAGGTTTTGACTTGATGTTGATGGCTGGTGACTGATTAGGGTGATGACTGTTGAAGGGTAAAGTGGCTGTAGCAATTTCTTAAAATAAAACAATGATAAAATTTATCACATCAATTGACTTTCTTTCAAGGAAGGTATCTCTGTAGCATGCAATGATGTTTCGTAGCATTTGAAAGAAGAACTTCTTTCAAAATTGAAGTAAATCTTCCCAAATCCCGCCTCTGGAGCAACTAAGTTTAGGTAATATTCTAAATCCTTTGTTATCATTTCAACAGTGTTCACAGCATCCTCACCAGGAGTAGGTTCCATCTCAAAAAAACACTCTCTTTCCTCATCCATGAGAAGCAATTTCTCAGCTGTTTAAGTTTGATCATAGGATTGCAGCAATTCAGTCACATCTTCAGAATCCACTTCTAATTCTAATTTCCTTGCTATTTCCACCACATCTACAGATATTTTCTCCACCATCATGGAGAAATCCCTCAAAGTCATTCATGAGGGTAGAAATGGACTTCTTCAAAACTCCTCTTCATGTTATTTTGACCTCTTCCCATGAACTACAAATGTTTTTAACGACATCTAGAAAAGGGAATTATTTCCAGAAAGTTTTCAATTTCCTTTGCCCAGATCCATAAGCAGAATCCCCATCCATGGCAGCTACAGCCTTATGGAATGTATTTCTTAAATAATAAGACTTAACATTTGAAATTACTTCTTAATCCAAGGGCTGCAGTTTGAATATTGTATTAGCAGGCATGAAACCAACATTAATCTCCTTGTACATCTTTACCAGAACTCTTGGGTGACTAGGAGCATTGTCAATGAGAGGTAATATTTTGAAACAAATCATTTTTTTCTGAACAGTAGGTCTCAATAATAAGCCTAAAATATTCAGTAAACTGCACTGTAAAGAGATATCTTATCTTCCAGCCTTTATTGTTCCTCTTATAGAGGACAGGCAGAATAAATTTAGCCTAATTTATTAGTACCCTAGGATTTTCAGAATGACAAATAAGCATTGGCTTCAACTTAAAGTCACCAGCTGCATTAGTCCCTGACAAGACAGTCAGCCTGTCCTTTGAAGCTAGGCTTGACTTCTCCTCCCTAGCTATAAAAGTCCTAGATGGGATCTTCTTCCAATAAAAGTCTATTTCATCTACATTGAAAATCTTTTGTTTAATGTAGCCACCTCCATCAATGATCTTAGCTAGGTCTTCTGGATAACTTGCTGCAGCTTCTTCATCAGCATGTGCTGTTTCGCCTTGGATTTTTATGTCACAGAGATGGCTTCTTTCCTTAAACCTCATGAACCAAACTGCAAGCTTCAGACTTTTCTTCTGCAGCTTCCTTGTCTTTCTCAGTCATCATACAATTGAATAGAGTTAGGACCTTGCTCTGGGTTAGGCTTTAGCTTAAAAGAATACTGTGGCTGGTTTGATCTATCTAGATCTTCAAAACTTTCTCCATATCAGCAATAGGGCTGCTTCACTTTCTTACTTTGATGGGGTGGGGGGAGAGGAAAGAGTCTCACTTTGTTGCCTGGGCTGGAATGCAGTGGTGAATATCGGATCACTGCAACCTCTGCCTCTCAGGTTCAAGTGATTCTCCTGCCTCAGCCTCCCAAGTAGTTGGGATTACAGGTGCCTGCCACCATGCCGAGCTAATTTTTTTTTTTTTTTTTTTTTTTTTGTATTTTCAGTAGAGACAGGATTCCACTGTGTTGGCCAGGCTGTTCTTGAACTCCTGACCTCGTGATCCGCCTGCCTTGGCCTCTCAAAGTGCTGGGATTACAAGCATGAGGCACCACACCCGGCCAGCTGTTTCACTTTCTTACCATCTGTGTATTCACTGAAGTGGCACTTTTCATTTCCTTCAAGAACTTTTCCTTTGCACTCACAACTTGGGTAAGCAACTGTTTGGCACAGAGTCCTAGCTTTTACCTTGTCTTTGCTTTTGACATGCCATCTCACTAAGCTTAATCATTTCTAGCTGTTGATTTAAAGAGACTTGTGACTCTTCCTTTTAACTTGAACGTGTAGAGGACATTGTAGAGTTTTTAATTGGCTTAATTTCAATACTTTTGTGTCTCAGGGAATACGGAGGCCTTAGGATAGGGAGAGACAGGGCAGAGTCTGGTTGGTGAAACAGTCAGAACATACACAACATGTGTCGATTAAGTTTACCATCATATATGCATACAGTTCCTGGTGCCCCCAAACAATTACAGTGTTAATATCAAAGATTGCTGATCATAGATCACCATAATGAATTTAATAATAATGAAAAAGTTTAAAATATTGTGAGAATTACCAAAATGTGACACAAAGACATGAAGTGAGCATATGTTGTTGGAAAAACAGTACTGATAGATTTTTTCAATGCAGGATTGCCAAAAACTTTCAATTTGCATAAAAATACAACATCTGTAAAGTACAATAAAATGAGGTCCAAAAAATGAGGTATGCGTGTATATTTTCAGTTGGCATATGGCACAATGTATTTTGTGTTTTAAAACGTTTACTTTAACTGTGGTGCAAATAAATAACTTCAGGCAAATAAAAACACCTGCAATTGGAAATATTTGGGCTAAAGTGGTATCAGTAGCATCCAAAAATTAGTAGATTTGAAATATTTGAGGCTGGGAATGAGAGCTCAACTCCTGTTATCCCAGCATTTTGGGAGGTTGAGGCAGGAAGATTGTTTGAAGCCAGGAGTTCGAGACCAGCCTGGGCAACATATTGAGGCTCCATCTCTACAAAAAACTTAAAAACAAAATTAGCTAGGATGTTAGCATGTGTCTGCAGTTTCGACTACTCTGGAGGCTGAAGTGGGAGGATAGTTTGAGCCCAGGATTCTGAAGCTGCAGTGAGTGATGATCACACAACTGCCCTCCAGCCTAAGCATCTGAATGAGACCCTGTCTCTAGAAAAATAAGAAGAGAAATAAAATAAAAATAAACACACTGAAGAGGCAAAAAATACAGGGATAAGCAATAAAGTGAATATGAAATATTAAAGGGGAGGGAGCTTTCAACAATGACTCTTAGATTATTGACTTGCCAAACTATTTTTACGAAAAAAAGAGAAAAATATAAGCATATACAGTAACGAAGTGAAGTCTCAAGATGACTCCAATAATCCTCATTATTCTTGTGCCATGCCTTCTTGTGCCCTGCCAATTATCCTCACATTCTTCAGACCTGCCATCTCCTTCTGAATCATGACTGACCTGGGTAACCAATAGAATTCTGTGTAGCTAATTTTGTAGCATCCAGCTTTGTCTATTGGATTTCTCACTCTGGAAGAAGTCATCCATTGTTATGAGGATACTTTACCCTCAAGAAATGTACTTGTGGAGAATATCTGAGGACTTCTGATAACTGCCAGCACCGATTAGTCAGTCATGTAATTAAAGCACTTTCGAAGAGTATTCTCTATCTGCAGTAAAGCCTTCAAATGGTTGCAGTAATGAACAAAATCTGACTGAATCCCCTGAAAGTCCTCAAGCCAAAATAATCTAGTCAGGCCATTTTCAAATGTCTTACCTAGGGAAACTGTGAAAGAAAATAAATACATAAAGATTTTTACTAATCCACCCAGTTTGGCGGTAATTTGTTGCATAGCAATAGATAACTAACAAGTGAATAAAGTCTTAAACCTTGGCTTCTGGCATATTAAGTCTCAGCTGCTGTCAGACATCTAAAAGGAAATTGTAAATTGACAGATAAATTGAGATAAGTCTATATTTGTTATGCAAAAATAAGGAGTAGTCACCTGCTTATAATTGGTAGCTGAGATCATCTACAGGGAAAATACAGAATAATAAATTAGAGCTATGAGAGAACTTTGAGGACTTCAACATTTCATGACTGGGAAGAAGAGGATAGGAACAAATAGGAATATGGACAAGAAATGTTGTAGAAAGTAGGAAGAACACAAGCTGAGATATTCAGAGGTAAGGTTGATTTAAGGAGAGAATGGCCAATATTATCAGATGTTGAAAGGTTATGTGATAAGGAATTTAAAAAGTATTTTTGCATTTAGAAACAGATTTCTGATCTCACCGGAAATTGCTTAACTGTAATATCATGGAAGGAAGCCACAGAAAAATGAAGATAATGGAGAGAGCGAGTGAAGAGTAACTTACCTGTTTTATTCACAAGCTTCAACTCTAATGACCCAAAGTGTTTTCAATCTGGCCATCTGCAAATCATTCTGGATCATTTTCATGGTTCATTTGTACGATCAAGTCACATTTATTACTCTTGAATCATGATTTTAAATGATGGTGACTTAATATTAAAGCCATCAAAATAAGTAACCCTAGCACAAATAGGTAGAGTTGATATTTTGTATTCCTCAGTGTAATCATATAGAAAAAAATATAAGCCCAACAGATGCAAAAAGCTTCATAATACCGGAAGAAAAAGAATGTAAAAAAAAAAAAATAGTAAAAGAATGAGATAGGAAAATCAAGGAATTATTATTTTCCACAAATTTGAGAGACAGACACATTTGACTAGAAATGAATGGCAAAATAATCACAAGAGAGAGACGAAAATATACAGGAAATGCACTGTGACCAGAAAAGAAAGGAGCAGGAGGGCACAGCACAATGAGTTACTCACACCTAGAAATTCCACGTTGATTCCAAATATAGGAGTAATAATGCTGTATTAGAATTGATCGACTTCATTTCCTTCCTTCTTCATCTGCTGCTCATATCACTGCACACCGCTGCTTCACAAAAGTCTATACTGCCACCTGCCACAGTGCACCTGGGATCAGCCTCCCTTAAAAATAGAGATGAATATTTATTATTTCTTTCAATCACTTTTGCAATAAAATGGCCTTTATTTTTATTTATTTCCTTATAAAGAGGAAATTTCTTAAATATTTACGTCCTTATTAAGAGAAATCTTAGCATGAGGCAACTGTAGATGGAAAGTACAATTCTTTTTCTCATATGTAAATGCAAATAGATTAGATACTGAAGAAATAATATGATGGTAATTTAAAGAAAATATAAACTCTGAATTTATATTTAGCCACATATTGCATTTCATCATATATTGATAAACCTGACTACATACGTCAAATATATTTTTTTGAAATACTGTCTCTCAGTTTAATACTTAATATGCAAAATAAAGATATATATGTAGTCATGTGTTACTTAATGACAAGGATACAGCCTAAAAAACATACCATTAGGTGATTTTTGCCTCGGTGCAAACATCACAGAGTGTACTTACACAGACCTCGATGGTAGAGCCCACTACACACCTAGGCTACATGGCAAGACCAATAATTACTCCTAGGCTGTAAACCTATACAGCATGTTATTGTCCTGCATACTGCTGGCAATTATAAAGGTAAGTGTTTGTGTATCTAAACATATCTAAATGCAGAAAAGGTACAGTAAAAACACAATATAAAAGATCTTTTTTAAAAGCTATGCCATATAGACCCCATGAACAGAGCTTGCAGAACTGCTAGCTGCTCTGGGTGAGTCAGCGAGTGAGTGTTGAGTGAATGTGAAGGTCTAGGACATTACTGTGCACTACTGTAGGCTTTATAGACACTGTACATTTGGGTTACAGTAAATGTATAAAAAATGTTTCTTTTTTCAATAATGTATTAACCTTAGCTCACTATAAATGTCTAACTTTATAAACTTGATTTAACTTATTTACTCTTTTGTAATAAGAGCTCAAAACACAAACACATTGTACACCTGTACAAAATATTTTATGTCCTTATTCTATAAGCTTTTTCCTATTTAAAATGTGTATATATATACACACACACATACACACACATCTTTTTAAACATTTTTTTAAGAACGAAGACACAAGTATGTACAGGGTCAGGATCATTCAAATCACTGTCTTCCACCTCCACATTTTGCTTCAATGGGAAGTCTTCAGGGACAATAATCCACATAGAGCTGTCATCTATGATAACAATGCCTTCTTCTGCAACATGTGCTGAAAGTCCTGCCTAAGGGTGTTTTACGGAGAAGTTCTTTTGTTTATTAAGTAGAAGGGGTACACACTAAAATAATGACAAAAGTAATAGTAAATAGTAAATACCTAAGCCAGTAACATAGTCGTTTATTGTAATTATCAAGTATTATATGCTGCACATAATTGTATGTGCTAGACATTTCTACGACCGGCAGAGCAGCAGGATATAATGCATTGTGCTATGACCTCACAACAGCTACAATGTCATTAGGTGACAGGAATCTTTTAGCTCCATTATAATTTTATGGAACCACTATCATTGTGGCCTGTCATTGACCAAAAATGCCATTATGGCATTTTGGCTATATTACTGCACTCTTCCTAAGCATCTCTCTATTAAATTAAGTTTGAATGATGGCACATCTTCATTTTGCTTATTCATGGCTATTCATATTTTATATTTAAAATGATTTTTTAAAGTCCATAATGTTGACATTTAACATATGGCTAATGTTTGATTTTTGAGCTTTAATAAAACCAATAATTTTTTCTCTAAGGTTATTTTTTCAGACTCAGAGTTCTATAAGTCTAAAGTCTACAGGTGGGGTTGCCTAGATTCTATGTTCAGGGTCTTACAAGTTCAGACTCAAATTATTGGTCATGTGGATTCTTACGGGAGAATTGTTCAAGTTCATTCCATTACTGGCATAATGTAATTCGCTGCAGGGCATGAGTGAGGCTCGCCTCTGCTTGCTGGCTTTTAGCCAATGATCCTTCTCAGTTCCTAAAGCTACCAAATTTCTTTTGACGTGGCCCATTGAATCATCAGTTCATCAACTGTACATTTAGTCTTTCTCATGCCTTAAATCTCTCTGACTTCTGCCATCAGATGAAGAAAGTTCTCTGCTTTTAAGAGCTCATGTAATTAGACACTAAAGACCAGGAATGTAATCTCTCTATCTTAACATCAACTGTGACATAAAAGCTGATACAATCATGGGAGTTATACCTCACCATAGTCACAGAGAATTGAGTTATTTTTGGAATCCACTTTAGGAACTCAATTTACCATGCCAGGAAAAATATATTTTGGATTCCTTCAAAAATAAAAAGCAAATCTACAATAGTTCTTCAACTGAGGCATCTCACCACATCTGTTTTTCTTACCTATTTTGTCCAAAATATAAGGCCAAGTTATATAGTTGTCTTCTATGTCATTCTCACCACAAATATCTGTCTTTGGGTAGTATTTAATGTTAATCACATTTTGCTGCTTTCCATTAGAGTAATTGTTTGCCTCTCTCTCTCCTGTGGAAGATTATTATGTCTACAATCTATCTACATAAGTGTTATGGGCTGTAAATGTATATCTTCTCCCTGGGTGACTATTATATATATAATCTGTTACCTTTTTCCATTAAGCTAATGAATGGTTGACACTTGTGATTAGAACAATCTGGCATCTTTAAATGTTGTCTTAAAAGTAAAAAATTAAAATGGTCCAGAGTCAAATGCACTGAACAACATCTGTTTTGCATTTAGCATAAGGTAAGATGTGTGCCTCTTGCTTTTTACTGAAAGCAGAAGACATTAAATTGATTATAACTTCATTTTTCTCTTATTTTAGTCAAAGCAAACTTCCTGATTCCACAAATTAGACTACGTGCTTTATTTCCTTAATAATTAAAAACAATTTACGAGAGAGAAATTTTGGATAGCTTAAACGTACCACTGATTTGTACAAAACAACAAATTTAATCATAAATAAGGGCAACACAATTATATTTAAATAATAAGTTAGGTTCCAATCATTGGAATCACTCTGTGTAGATGCATTTTTATTCTTTTCGGCAGAATTGGTAGAATTAATAAAAGTGGCAGAATTGGTAAAAGGAGACCTAACAAAAGGAGATATTTTAAATGAGCTTTCCTTGATTTGAAATTCAGAAGTCTAGTGTAATTTTCAGGTTTGGCATTGAAATATATGAAATACGGGGGATTTCGTTGAGATGCTCTAAGTTTGACCTCTCACATGGGCCTCACTCCTATATACATAATCTCCTATGTACATAAATCTCTGCTTTTGCTGAAATTTCTCCATTTTAAACTTCTTTCAAGAATCACAAGTTCAGCAATTAAAATTAGCGTTCACTGTACAATATTAGCTTTTTTCTCCCTGCCCCCTTCTATATTAGTACTACCATAAATTTTTACATACTAAACTAAAAATCTCAGAAAAATAATTGTCTGGATATTTTTCCTCCATCTTCTAAATTCAGCTTCCCATTAAAGCCTGTCCTTGATTGTTTCTGCTTGTTCCACTGCGCTACTTCAGTCAACTGCTCTAACCCCCCAATCCTAAATTACTATAACCATCTGGCAACCACTGCCTTTACCTTCTGCAGTCTCTGTCCATTTAAGCCAGACCAATCCTTATAAAATTCTGATTGCACCATATCAGTAGAGGACTCAAGGATTTATTTGGCTCCCCTCTTGGAATCAAGTCCAATTTTCTTCTCTTAACTGTGACGTCCATCTTTCCTTCAATTTCATTATCTACTACTTTTAAAACATACTACAAATTGTAGTTTTGTTTATATTCTCACTATTCTCACATAAACTTTTTTGTCAGTTTATTGCACCAAGCTGTAAAGTTCTTTAATATTCTTTAATTTAAATTATCCCAATTCTTACCTACTCAAGTAATTTTCCCTACTATATAAAAACTTCAAATTAAAAAAATATTCTTCTCTTTCCACATACACATTTTCGCTGTGAGTATGTATATACACACACTTACACACATGTATTTATCCATATTATCTAATAGGTTAATAAATGTTAGACTATCTAGTGAAACATAACACTGCATTCAGCACAGATGCATTGTATATATAGTAAGCCCTCAGATGATACTGATTCAAATATTGGAGTGTACTAATGCATACATAAACATAATATATACATAATACATAAATACATACATAAATACATAAACATATTTGAAATTTGACGTGAACATGTTTTGGCTCAGTTAAGGTTGACCCCACTTACAACTCCAGGAATGGGCTGTGATACATTTTTTTCATCATAGTCAGTGATTCAAATGTTTATACTTACAGCAGTTAGTTGGGGACCGTTAAACAGATTGAGTTTGGCACAATAAAGAAAGAGTACATTTTACAATTTAATGTTGACTTAAATTTAAAGTTAAGTTTCTGCCGTCTATGAGAGGAAAACTGCAGTCTTATTTGCTAGAAGGTCTTTTAAGAAGACGTGAAGTCCCAAGTCATTAAAGTCATTGTCAGGACCATGATAACAATTGAGAATCATATTTTATTCTTCTATGGAACTTACATTATGTCAGACATTGAGAACTTTATATTTGTTACTAACTAAATTTTTATAATTATGTGAAGTAGATGCTATTATTTCACTCCCTTTTGGATAAGGATCCTGAGGCCCAGATGAGGAAACTAAGGCAGTGATAAGAAAGTCAAGCCTGCGTAGTGACTCAAATATAGTGGTTGATTGTAATCTCAATTACTATGTGTACTCAATATGGGATGTGTCATCATATGGACTTGTAGTCCTAATGTAAGGGTCAGAGGAAAACATAGAAAAGGATTCCTGTAAGACATTAATTTATTGCCTCAAATCTTCCCTGAACCTCCAACCAGTTAAGGCACAAGAACTAGCAGACATCTTATTGTTTATGATTTTTATTTTATTCTGTGTTCTGTTAGCTTTACCTGTTCTGTTTGTTTATGTGTTTGGCAGGTGGAACTCATTATCCTAATATAATCACAGTATATTCTTTGAAA